AGAAATGTAATTCATCAACTCACTGCCTGGGAGAAGCATAGACTATAAAAATCCTGTCTGGTCGACCGAAAATAAGAAAAATCCGCGTTTGCCTTTTCAAAAAAAAAGTTTAAAAACCTTTCTTTAGTTTGCGGATTGTCTGTTTGTGAGATCTGCTTGTCATACGGGCCAGCGAAGATAAAACAGCTATTTTGTTGAATGCCAATTAGCAATAGGCGGATAGACAAGGTCACCTAACACAATGTACTTCGTATTACATCATATCGCTCAGATGTGCGAAACCGATGATATCACATACAAGTGGATTTATTTCCCAAGAGTAACCTAAGTTTTCAAAATGCCAAGAAATTTCAAACGACAACTTGAAATTGTTCCTTTATTCTTCGTCTCGACTTTAAAATTATGCACAGTTGCTAGGCATTCAGACGCTCGTCATTTACTCCCACCGGACGTAGATCATTCAACCCATCTGCCTTCTCCGTAAAAAATAATCACAAAAAGGAAATTTTTGTGCAGAATCAGCTTTACGTACCACAAAGGCTGTAGTGTCTGAGAAAAAAATTCATTTTTTGATCACCAGCAAAATCCCTTTTCAGTAAGTGATCGTCTGCGATAATGCCAGAAGATACTTTACTTTGGTGAAGCAATTTAGGAAACTCCAGAAAGAATCAATGAACAATAAATTTTTGTAAAGAATCCTGACGACTGCAGAGATTCGTCATTTAGCGAGGGATTCTAGACAACATCACAAATCATCTCAAACAGTGGATCGGAAGAATTCGAAATCGCTGGTGGTGGTTCTAAGCAAGGCTGAAGTGTAATATATGAATTTTTGAAAATTTCATTTGTATTTGGGTAAAACTGTGAAATTTTGCACTCAGCGTGCCCAGCAAAGTTTAATTTGTGCCTATAAAATAATCCGAAACAAATAACTTAGCCTACAAGTAAACCACGAGTGATTTTCAAAAACGGCGGGTTTAGGAATTTGAATTCGGAAAGAGGAGCCTGAATAAACTTCAATCCTGTGGAACCAGCAAACAAATCCGCTCTGCGTTTTTCGAAGTTAAGCTGTTCTCCGTTTTCTTTCTCTTGGCTCCAAAATAGATTGCTCAATCCGCCGCTGATAATCACTAGAGCAAGAATGATTCGCAATGCAAGCTCAAATATCTGTGCTGCATTTGTAACTCAGCTCTTCACTGCCACGATGAAATTTGGACAGCGAAAAAAAGTTCAAACACCGCAACCGGTACTGTGGTAATACGGTAACCGTTAGCAGCGGATTCAGTATCTGAAAAAAGAATCATCTTAATAATTTCAAAAAAAAAAAAGAATATCTGCGAATCTGCGAAAAAATATCTGTGCTGCGAATTTGCAAAGCACAACCGAAATTTGAGACCCGTTTTTGAGGTATGAATATGTAGAATTGTGATGTTTTTGCAACATAAATATGTTTGTCTTTGAGATATAAAAATGTTTGATTTTTAGGCACAAAATATTTTTTAGACGTGAACGCATAAATTTAGATTTGGATTGGCAACGCAAAAACAAGCCAGTGATGTAAACGGCGCCAGTGTTCCATAGAAAACCTCTACGTAGACATCACGTTCACACTGTTTTCGTACTAAATTCGCAATTTTGGCTTAAGCACGTAAAAATTCATATTTAGGAAATTATCGCAAATTTTAAAACCATTTTATGCAATTAAAATAACATTCGACCAACAAGACAACCAATCTTTCTACGATTTATTCATACGTTTTGGTGATAAATTCATACTGACACATGCTGTGGAGTTAAACTCGTCAACACTATCTTGAATCCAAGAAAACTTCGAGCGGAAATAATTCATCGGCACCAGTAGTTATTGTTGAAACTTCCTCCAACTCGAGCTATTTTCAAGTACTGTGGTATACCGAAGGGGTTCCCATTTATGGTTTTAAACCCAGGCTGGAACGCACCAGGCGAGCTGGCGCGATCATGCGTTTTTGCATCAAACTTTGAGGTACTCCATCAAATTTCCTTACCTTTTTGAAATGCAAATTTCCAGGTCACTGAAAAGTCAAAGTATTGCCCGAGCGGTCGTCTCCAAAAAAACCGCGTTCATTTACATATACAATTGCGATTAAGGTCCGAGCAGAGAACGAATTTTTGAAAATATGCAAATTTTTAGTTCATTGAAAAATTGAAA